TAAGATTCATAAACATAAGAAAATTGTGTCTAAATTTAATAGGTAAGTCAGGAGAAACATCATTTCAACTGGTCAGAATGTGAAACTCTCGACCACAAGATAAAGTGAATATTATAAATATATTCAAGGACAAATGAGAAAATCATATAAAAGAGAAAAGGACAGAAACAGAAACTGATTAGATTATGTTAGGTAAGATGGCAAGAGATTCATATGGTAGTATAAACACTGGCATGGACCTTTCTTTAAAATTCATTCATGACTGGCTAAGCCAGCAATGACTGTCCATTTCTAAGAGTCAACCACATTTCTGTGGGTCTGGAGTCACATGCAGGCCAGACCAGGTAAGGCCAGTAGATTTCCTTCCCTAAAAGGCCTTAGTGAACCAGATGGGTTTTTACAACAATCTAAACTAATTATACGGTCACCATTAAGGTAGATTTTTATTGAATTCAAATTTCTCCTATCCTCAGGTTGGGATTGAAATCCATCTCCCCAGAACATTTATTTGGATTCTGGATTACTAGTCCAGTGACATTACCATTATGCCACTGCTTCCCCTAGTTGGGCCAAATAGTCAGTATCAGTGCTGTAAGTACTTTACGTTGCACTACTTTGTAATGGCATGCCTTAGAAGGGAGGTGCTATATAAACCTTCCACAAAACTTTTAGGAATTCAATGTGTCATTGATCAGTGCATACCCAGAATACTCCTATTTGAACAGTTGTCAGTTTCCAACACTGAATAATATAGGTGAATATTGTAATTAAGATTTAAGATATGCTTTTGTGTTTATTACCTTTTGAAATCCAATACTATGATGAAAATTACAAAATGGGACATGTTCCTGGTTATGAGGAACAGATAGACTCATTTGTTAACATTTTTGCTGCAATGTCAGGCGGTTGCAGATTCAAGGACTTGAAAGCACATAATCTAGGCTCCATGTCTTACTGCAATAGTGAAGGAGTACTGCATTTTTTAAAAATACTGGCTTTGAACTAAATATTAACCTGAAGCTCCGTCCGCCTTTCCAGGAGTTCCCATGGTGCCATGGACAATATTTGTTCTCAATCAACACCAGGAAACAAAACAGACTAACTGACCATTTATTCATCCTTTGTTACATTTCTCTGTGCAGTTACCAGGCTATATGTTAAAAGGTAATCCATTGTATGTTTTGAGGATGTGATAAGGTATAATATAAAAGCAAGAACTTTCATTATTTGTAAAACATGTAAGTATCTTATTAAATGCTCCCCTCTTTCATACAGCTTCATTATATCAGTCAAGGGTATTATATTAGAAAAAAGTGTGACTGCATATTTAACCTGAGTTTTGCCTGCTTCAATCATCAGGTGTTACTTTTTTTTCTTGATCTCTTTAAGTCAGATATTTTCCCATTTTAACAATCCATTAAGACAATATACAAGAGGTCTGAAATGAACATTCTTAAAATAAAATACAAAAAATAGCTTGCATTCATTTTGTGCATTTCATGATCTCAAATTGGGGCCAAGTGCTTCAAAATGTAGTGCTGCCAGGAGAGAATGCAGGATACACAGCAGCCAATTTGCTCATAGCAAGATTCCACAAACAGCAGATAAATTTTCAGTTATGTTTATTAAATATTGGTAGGGTTGAATTCCCATGTTTTATCTTTGAAATGGTGCCACGGCTTCTTTAAAGTTCATTCATGAGGTCAGACAGGACCTGAGTTTCACAGTCATTTTACTTTTTGTTTTTAGAGTTCTGTCATTTTTTTCACTTTTTTTTAAAAATGGGAAAATAACCCAACTGACTAATTAAAAGCAGAAATTAATTCACATTAACAAGAGGATTTAAGGAAAAAAAGATGTTCTGAAACCTCAGAAATCTGAAGTGCAGTTCAAAAAAAAGTTTTGATTTCAGGCTATTTCCAAATTATTTCCATATTTCTACTATTTTGTTTCGTATGTCATCATTCAAAATCATTTCTGTAATTTAAACGGTTTGGATAATTATTTTCATCTGCTTGTTGCAACTTTTATTTTTGTAACTACTTCTCATTGGTAATAGACTTCCGGGTACAGCAACTTAAACCAAGGTAACACAAGGTTAGTGCTGAATAAATCCTCAGGTAGCCCGTTAAAGAATAAATTAGTATTTCAAAGATGTCTATTGGTCTTAAAACATGCAATATTTGATTGGGACTAACAAAACTGAATTCCGAATTATGATTTCTGGATTAATAGAATTTCAAATATTGTTAGGATGAAACGGAGACAGTGATGTGGTGTCGCTCTGGAAAACGATCGTTGAACATTTATTTGGATTCATATAGATTATTATGTATTTGTAATCCTCGTACTCACGGCCAGGTGGGAGGCATAGCCGGCAGGAAAGAGTTAATATTTTTAGACCACTGATTGTTTTTTTTCCCTTTGACATTACTCGTCTGTAGGGGGCGAAATTGAACGTAAAATACTACCCAGCTCAGTTTCGCTCCTCGTTGTTCTGGCGAACCTTCAATCGAAGCTTTTAGTGGTGTTGGGATTGGGGCGATACCCGTTATTGGAGGCCCCCAGTGGCAGATTTAATATTCATAAATCACCAGCCTATCTTTAATTGTTTCTCTGTGGGTGTCTGAAAACATATACTGCTGAATAGATCCAGATGTATGTAGACAGAAAACAAAGCTCACTGTGGTACATTACTCAAACTGCCACCCTTTAAAAGGGAAGGGGGGAAATTGCAAGACGACTTAAAGATACAGAGTTTAAAATTGATTTAAACGCAATTATTTTCTGTCGGTCTTCTTAATTTGAAAGGCTTTCTTGTCAGGTACGTTTTTGTTTGCTCACTAGATTTATCTTGCTTCACAGTGTAAATAACATCTCTATAATTCCGAAATCAAGAGTTATAGATCAGTACCTGCGAAGACTTGGCAGAGATGGTACTATACTGTTATTTGCAGCAATACCCAAATCTGTCAGCTATTGTACAAAAAAAAATCACTCAATATCATTAACCCACACAACTATCTTGTTACCTCCCCTGTGAACTGGTTGTCAAAATATCATCAGCTGTATAAGCCACCAACAGCTCACAATTGAATCTAAATTTAATTCAGATCTAACAAAATCTTTGAGATATACAAAACAAGCATGTGAGCCCAAATGTTATTGCTATAAATGGCCTCTAAATGTTTCAACCGTGCAAACCCAATTTTAAGAACCTAATCAAATAGCTGTTCTAATCCCTTTTTCCCCTTAACCTATTATTAGATTAAATCTAAAAGGCTCTCTGTGCCCATCCTTATACAGATCTGTTCGAATTCGTCCAGAAGTTCCGGTCAGGCTGCAAATCAGATCCGATTGTTAGAAATTACTTTACAGTAATTCCCAGCCACAACACAAAGATGAAAGTGACAAATAGTTGCTATTCCACCATTCCCCAAATCCGTTATTCAAGGGAGCAAAATACACAACCTAAAACTGTATCAATTAATCATAATCCAAAATACAACTATTTAGGCTTTCATCCTCCTGAAGAGCCGCTTTAAAATGTGTAGAAATCTCACCCCTCCTCTCCTTCCCCTATGCCCAACTCAAAGGCAGCTCAAACTCACGGACATCTCCTGTCTCCAGTCTGAGTTTGATGTTCTGAATGTGTACAGCCAGGGTCGACAGGCACCTTCTGTTATCTGTTTCATGATTCCTATCATCAGGACTAACTTATCCACCAATGAAACCAATCATTTCTACCAGTTTCTGACAGGCCTAATCAATTCAGTGTGATTCATTAGAACAATAAAAAAAGTCAGGATATTGTATTTACTTAAAAACTGCCCACCTCGAAATCCAATCAATCCCCCATGAACCGAGAAGAAAATCCAGTCAAAACGTGTTTTCACTCTCTCATGTCAACAGTTACGAATGATTCGAAACCACAGACCTCAAACCAGTAAAAAGATTGCCTCTACATCCTTGTGTTTTTACTGCGTTTACTCTTACTAGGTCGTACACACACAAACACTCAAAAAATTTTCACCACTCTCCGCACGTCAGGATTCAGTGAACGTCAGAAAAAAAACTTCTTAAAATTCTCTCCTTTAATTGCGGCTTATTTTTGTGACATGACAGATAATACTGTTCCATTTCAGGTCTGTCTCTAGTGTCTTCCAGATTCGGCATTTCCTAATTATCTGAATGTAGGTGCACAATGGTGAATGTAAAGGGACTTTAAGAACCAGAGAATAAGATTAGCTAATGGAAAACAGATTTAGTGCTTGCGAATAGTATTTTACCTAATCAAACATTCTCAAACGATATCTCTGGAGGGACACCCACCTCAAACTATTGCCATCAATTCAATGATAAAGACAGCTCGATCAATTCTAGAAATGTCAGGCATTATTCTTTGAATTATTAATTTTATCCACCATAAGTTAGTACCGTGTAGCTATCTCGAAGGGGAAAAAAATCAGCAATTTATCAGATTGGATTGGATCTTCAAGAACTACATATTGAGAGCAAAACATCAATATTTGTCACTGAGTTATCTTAAAGCCCATTTACTATAAAATGGATAAAGATTCTAGTGTAGCTGACAAATGTTTCCACACAGTTAAATTTCAAGTTACGTTCAGGCTCAAAATAAGCCTTATCCAATCAGCCATCGGGAGAACTGGAATTTATGATTATTTTCCCTCGTTTCGGCACCAGACCCACGGACATCTATGAGTTTAGCTAGGATACAGAGATGAACTAAATGAAATTGTGTCAGTAACAGGTTATAATTTTAATTGCATCTTCATAAAGTTGCCAAATTGAAATATGGAATGATTTCCCAATTCATTTTGGATATACTTCCTTATAGCCTTGTCAAACATTTTCCATCTACAAACTGCCAGGTCTAAATGAATAAATAACCAGCAAAATTTTAGTCAGGACATTGATTCTCCACGTGCATGTCACTTTCAATGTAGGCGGTGAGAGGAATAAAAGAAACCTTGTAAAACTGTACAAAAGCTCTTTTTTAATAAAAAATATCTTATAATTACAATGATCTATTAAAGCATATACATTTCCACGTACACTCATAAAGAACATCTTGAATATGTACAGCAGGTTAAGATTCGCCGCCCACCCCACCTTCTTTCTATACATTTACATTTTTTTTAGAAAAAATGGCGTATCGACACTCCCCTGGTCTAAGCCAGTCGTCTGTTTAAAATATGACAGAACATCTGGAAGATACTGCTGGATTAGTAAAAAGCGTCAGCAATCACTTGTTTTTAGTCGATGAAACTTTCCACTATTGCCCTAGATGGGTTTCACTGGTTTCTTCCACCTTCCAATGAGTTGTCGACCAGCCTGAAGTCACTCAGTTTATCCCCCACCCCCCACCCCTCCCCAAGTGTCCCAAGGTCAGAGCTCTGCTTTTTTTTCAAGTCTGTGGCTTTAACGCTGAGTAGCAGAGAGATAAGACGTGATTTGGCAGAAACCCCTCCGAGGATGGAGTCTGTTGGATAGGTTTTTGGCGTTGATCGTTAGGATTAGATTTTTTCCCTTTTTTTCCTCTCTCTTTCCCCTCTCTGGTCTGTTATGTGTGTGCGCGCGCGTTTCTCGGGCACACCTGTATAAGAAAAATGAACAGAGGGGGTGTGTGAAACACTCAGCTCCAGACTGACTGGCGCCACCAACACAACACAAGGCATGCTTGATCAGCAACCCAAAACAAATCAGGGTCAAACTGCAGCTCCAAACCCACCAGTACAAAACTTCAAACATGGACAGCTGCACGCTACTTACACAGTTTAAAAACTAGCAACGTTTACTTACGATGCTAGACATTCGCTGTTACTTAAAACGAAAGTAAATATTAAACAATGCCCTGTTTTAGCGCCCACCTCACACAGCATCACATCAGCGGCACAGAATGCTGTCCTCTTGTCTTCTGACTTTAGACCCAGTCTGTAACACAAAGAGAAAACACTTCTGAGCATTTCTGGCACTGTACATTGTATCTCTTGTGGAAGCTCTGAATTTGAGCAGCTCATTTGCGTCTGATTATAAATTTAATACTGAGAACTACACGTCGTTTATCCGAATTGTATTAAAATGTATGTGTTGTTCTATAAATTTTACATTGTCCCCTGCCCTGATCAGCGTCCTTGGTTTTAACAAAACGGCACGGACTAATAAAACCAGAGTTCCGGGTGGATTTTAAAAAATCTCGGTCCACAAAAAGGCCTAAGTGAAAGAGATTGTTTTCACTGTTACAGTCCTAATTCTCCAACCTGTATAGTTTTGACATGAATAAAACGGAGCCTGGTGTTTTCTATAGTTTCCATCGAAATTGTACCTAGTACGTTGAAAGATGTGCTACAGAAATGATCCCTGTTGTAATAGAATCCGCAGTAAAGCGAAACGTGTTCCAAGATACAATTAATCCGCACGTCTACGTATAAATATATTTTTTAAATTAAACTGCATCACTTGAATATAGAATTTCTATTCCAGTTGGGTCACAGCATCATACAGGGGCGATGCTCATATATGTTTTTAATGTGTAGGTATCGATCCCGCAATCTTAGCAGTTGTTATCGTTAACGTTTCACTAGAAACATGCCATCAACATATACACACTGTCACATGCCTGTTAATTCTGCAGGAGTTCCCACTGGTAGTGTAGAGAACAGACAATGGGATACGATAAGCGTAAATTCCCCATCTCCCGTGCTGTAAGGATGAAAAACACGGGGAAATACGGCTAGCCTTGTTACTTGACGTTAGAAAATGTTTGCTCCTAACAATTCCAAATGGCTAAAGTTTTGTTTAAAAATAAAATTGATTCTGTTTGTAATCTAGCTAAGACACCCCTCTCTCTTCCCCATGCTGCTGTAAGATGACTGAGACAGGAATTTCTTTTAAAGAGGTGCAGTTTTTGAGTGAAGTTTAGTGATGGTTCTCCCTTTTATTTTACCTGTTCGGTGTTGAGAGCTGTCAGAGGATTCCGGGGCGCCGAGGCGCAGATCGCCGGCTGCGGTCTCACTAGAGCCGGGTGCGTCTCTAGAGCCAGCTGCAGATCCAGAATGTAGTCGATCACATGCTGTAAGATCTCCACTTTGCTCACCTTCTTGTTCTGGGGAATGGTGGGGACCAGCTGCTTAAGCTTGGAGTAGCAATCCTTCATGTCGTACTGCAGATCCAGCGACTCCTCTTCCATCTTGCAGCGGGCGATGCTGAGACTGTGCTCCGACAGGCAATGCAATGTCATTTCACCGCAGCCTGCCTTCTTCAGAGCAGGGACATCACTCACCGCTTTCATTGCGCTGCTGAACAACACTTCCTATTTACTGTAAATAATAGTGCAGATGACTCTACGAGAATTATTGCCTTATAAATACAAATTAAGTAATCTTAAAAAACTAAAATATAAACCTTGCTGCTTTGTTTTTTTTAAATGAAGTATTTGTATTTTTCTCTTTTAGATTCCAACACTTGCCTCCAGAGGTGCAAAATTCACACTGAAGTCAGTGTGTTGAAATCGTTGTGCTTTATAACAGTAAGGGAGATGATTGAAAACTGGTTTGGCAAATCACAGCTCGCCGACTGCAGATATCCCAGCTCATTGAACGAATGGCAAGGCGCGTTTCATGGGGCAGCTCCCAATGCCCGGGGTTGATTCAGCTGGGAGGAGCTGGGCGCGCAAGGGAAGTACAAGTGTCAGCGACGATCGAGGAGTTACAGAGGTTGTGGGGGGTGGGGAGGTGGCCAGAGAACGCAGGGAAATAATTTACAAATCTACTAATTAATCTCACTGCAGTTCAAGGAAACGGCAAACTCGGGTGACTTATTGTTCAATATGTGTTGTTACAAGGTGGCGATGCCCTGAACCAGAACCGACTGCACTTTCGGCACCTGAGGAGCGATCAGCAGCTCTACACATCGCTTAGACTCTTCCTCTCGAGCGAAACAGTGTTTAGTATCGGTCAACCAGTGAAAAATACGACTGGTATACTTCTGTCATGCATTGCTTTTTGTGTTTAAATGAACAAGAATTGTGAGATTCTGCAGTTTGAAATATTTCTCACAATATTTGTAAATATAAGACCTGTACATTGCACGGTATTTAGAAATCGTTTTTCCTCTTTAAATGATTAACGTTTTGCACCTAATACAGATTTTTTAAAAAATGAAATGCATTGTGTACGACTTTTATTCGTAATTATGTCTCACTAAGGCATAACACATCAATTTACGTTTCGTGCAAATCAACAGAAGCAGGTATTATTTCACCATGTTTTGGAGTTGCAAATTAACGGTGCCATTCCATCACTGCTGCAGCGCATAGCCCATATTAAATAAAAGGTGCGCTTAATTTCACGAAACAATTGTTTCATGTTTTTACGACATTGTGCGTGCAAATCGTTTTGCCCCTTTTTATCCTTCATAATATTGTACTTAAATTGCACAAATAAATTGGGAATATTCGCGGTTAACTTATAATTGAGCTAATGGCGTGTAACCTGGACCCATGATAAAGACCTCACAAATCTGTCCAAAGAAATCTTAATCCTGTATTGAGAATGATTGTCCCGTTACAATATTGAAAAGAACATTTGGAAACGACCACTTTTAGTCAAATTAATGGATTATTTATTATAATGATTATGATGCGGATCATGATGCTTATTCTACAGCATTACATTATTATTCGCATTAAAATCACTGGGCCGGAACAATGGGTCATTTCAGTGTGCGTGTAGATTAGTTTTCCAGCTCAGATATGTTCTGGCGCAATGATGTGCCTACTTGCGTGAATGTCTGTGCATTTACTTGTTTTTGTGTGCCTGTTGGCATTGCTGTATGTGTATATGTGCAATGATGTATTTGTCGCTAATATGTTTCTGTAGCTTTCCACGAGTTGGGAGTACAAACAAACAATAGCCATAAACAACACCTAGACAAAAAAATGGTCATAATACAGGTTATAATAGAGGCCTGGGGTGATGACCAGGTTATAATAAAAAATTACGTTTCAGTGTATAGCAAGTCACAGAAACAAAGCCGGACCCAGATAAAATATGATGAGAGGTTTAGATTAATGCCTTGAAACCACTCAAGTATGTCAGTTTGTTAAAATTTGTAGAAAGATATAGATAAAAGGATAGAGAAGAAAACAGATAAAGAGATTGCTATACAGATAGGTAGCTAAATGAAACAAAATATCTTCCAGTTCTGATGACAGGTCATTGGCCTGAAACATTAGCAGTGCTTCTTCTGATGTAGATACTTTAATTTCTATTTACTAGCACTTTCTGTTTCTATTTTAGATAGATTGCAGTAGTGTGACCTATTTCTATGATTATGACCTTTGATGCATTGGAAGGCTCTGAAGCCAAAAATGCCTGAGATATTGCCCACTACAAGTTACATATGACCCCAGTCCTTGAGGTGGATGAGGCTGGTGATTCTCCTGTTGATTCTTCGGTCTCTCAGGACTTGCCTATTACAATAGATCAACAGAAATAGAGAGTTGGAATTAAAGATATGTTGACTGAATCCGAGCTTAATAAGATAAAGCTTTTATGTGTTTGGTTTCTCTCTGTTCCAACAACAATTCTCTGTATAGATATTGAATACTGTGTGCACCATCTGACTGATAAGTTGCTAAAGTGAAAATATGAATAATTATGATATTTCTATTATAAATTCTATTAAAAATAACTTGTAGCTGATTACTAGCAAATTCCATAGCCAGTGCATTCAATGATATTACATTGATTAATTTTAACGTTGCAATAAAGAAAATCAACACCTCTGGTCAATAAAATTTAAAATAAAGCAGTTGTTGGTTTTATTACAAACGTTCCTCAGAATCATTACTTGCACTCACTACAATTGATTTGTTGTGTTAAATTTGCATTACTATATCTATGCTTGAAAGGTCAGTTCATGCTTTATTATTATCATTGATGTATAATTGCAAGAATATTCAGTGTTCTAAATTGGATCCTCCTTTCAACGTTTTTTCTTATGCAAAAGATGGCTTCCAAATGTAGTCCTCCACCACCTATTAACAGAAGCCTGTGTTTATTGAATGAGATGTAGCATATCTCACACTGATTGCTCACACTTTTACTAATGCGTTATAGTACAGGTTTCTCACTATACGTTCTCCATCTTCCTTAAAAGTTGGGAACACATCAAATTCAGGCTAAAACTATCAATCTGTGTGTTTGTAAGATGTGAATTTATACAGAAAATCAGCAGATTATTAGCAATTGTTAATAATTGTTCATAAGAACAAATAAGCAAATTGTGTCAAAATTCTTATCAAATTATTTTTATAGTTCTTTGACAACTTAGAAATCTGTAATATTATTTATGTAAGTTTTTTTAGCATTCTGTCTCATCAAAATGATTGAATATACAGTTCAAACCAATTATCAAAATATGAAGTATTCAGCTTTTACGCTCAGAAGAGCTTCAATGACCTTGTTTTTAAACCATGAGTTTTTCCTATTGGAATATTCTCTAATGGATCAACTGTTAGAGGTAATATTTCTGTCAACTTTTTGGAATGGATATCCTACATACATTATTTCTGAAATTGAATCATTTGTATCTCTTTTTAAAAGTAAGTGTATAAGTAATTAATGTAAAAAGGGTGGGATGTCATTTTAAAATAGACCCAATGATCCAGAAAGGATCTGTCCAGGTGCTTTACACTCTGTATTACCCAATGCCAAACCTCTCCATTTCAAACACAAAAGCAATAACATTATAACTACATAAATGTCAACACAAAGCAGTTAAAGTTAAAAGATGAAAATAAATGTCTGTACCATACATACACAAGTAATTTGGAAGAAGTTGGATCATATTTATCACAAAGGCTGCCAATATACTAACCATGCCATGGTGGCTTTGTGTTGTTACATAATTCTCCCTATTCATTTCTGTTTTGAACTTGACCTATATTTCTGCAAGAATTGTAGGTGAACATTTGTACTACAATGGTGGGTATAGCTCTCAGACCTTTTATTTGTGATGTTCAAGTTTCTTCCAACACTGCTAGTTTGGCTCAACACACAATATGTGTTATATAATCATGCAAATAGTTATTACCTCTGCTGTTGAGAATCAGAGCTGACACAAACAAATTTTCTGGGATCTTTATGAGTGTCTCTGTACCATGTAAATCATTGGTGAAGGCACTGAAAGTTGCATATTTGAATTTTGAGATGATAGTACATTAGGAGGGACAGTATAAGCTTAGAACATTAAAATACAAAAGGACATAAATAGACTAAATCAATGGAGAAAATAAACTATAGAAGAAGGATTTTGATATGAGGAAATATGCAGTCAAACAATAGATTTGAAAAGACAGATCAGAATATTTATTTAATGATAGGAAACAAAGCAATGAAATTTAGGAGTAGCAATGAGATTTAGGTGTCTACATATGGAAAGTTAGTCCATAGGTACGAGAAATATTACAACTAATAGAATATTAATCCCTCTTGAGTGTTGGAACTCAAATGTGAGGAACTGATAATTCTTTTGAAGGGCCTGGGTAAGACACCATTTACATCTACTAAGTCTACAGAAATATGTGTTGAATCTGGAAGGAAAACAATGTAAAGATATGATGAATATGGAGAAATGCCAATCAAATAGTGCAGAAGGACAAATGAGACAGGAAAAACAAAGTAATAGAAAAGGTGTGGGAGTCTAAATGGATTATTTTCAAAGTAGAAAAGCCAAACTTTCCTGCTGATAAAAGAAATTTTTCTTACGTGCAAAATTAGAAAATTCCAATATTTTGTTCTATGAAATCTTAGATAGACAAGGCATTTGTATGTTTAAAAAAAATGGCATGACTAGCCAGAACTTGGAAGAGTTCCTTTGTTCTAAGGATCAGCATCAGCAATACAGAAAATTAATCTAGCCCATTTTTTCAAGTCAAGAAGCTGCCTGCATAAACATAGGCAAAACTCTTGATATATGTTAGAATGAAGCAACAACTTAATTAGCCTTCCCTTGGAGGAAAATGAGCACTTGAACCTTGAATGTAAATTTCTGATCTTCGGATACTATGGAGGCAATTACTTTAGTCCCAAGACATTGCTGAAGGGTTGCTCAGGGCAGTACCCCAGACCAAAAAATCTTAAGGCATTTCACCAATGACCTTGGGCCAGATTGTCATCTCTTGATAGAGATGTGAATCGGATTGTGAAATGCTGAACATAGTTTATTTTTGCTGCAGGAACAATTTTCCTGTCTCTTCCTGACATCACACTGTTTGTGTCCTTTTTATGAGTTGGAAAAGCTTGGATGTGAAAACCCATGCATGCCTTCTGAGGTCCGGGCTCTCTATTGTGAAGATCACTGCATATATGTACTTCCTGCTGCACACTACATTCATGTGCTGGTTGAAAAAATAAAAAATACACCTTGGAAAGTATGTGACCTCTGAGGGAGGTGCTGTGGTGTCAGGAACATTTTGAA